CTTTCAGCTGAGAGTTAAGCCTCAAAGATCCCAGTGGCGCTTCCGAGTAAACATGCACAGGTCTTAAATCACCGAGCTCCGCACCTGTCCGCGCTCCCCATCAGGTTCCCGGCTGCAGGCGAAGATCCATTGCGGCGAGTCGGGCTTGCTCAGGAGTTGCCGTACCAGCTCCAGGCCGATGCCTCGGTTGGCTCCGGTCACCAAGACGCTGCGCGCTCCGAGCCCGGCCATTCGCTCCGGGTGCGGCGACGGCACTGACCGACAATAAACCGGACGGTCCGGGGAAGTTCCTGCCGGCTGCCGGCAAAAGAGGGCCCCCTTGTGGCCACGCGTGGACATTCGGCTGCGCTCGGAAGCCCAGGACCAAGATAGGAGCACCAAGAGTAGTTTTAAGCAGCGTTGTAGGGTTTTTTCCCTATTTATTTACTTCATTTATACCCCGGCTTCCTCCCCAACTGGGACCCAAAGCGGCTTACATCATTCTCTTCTATTTTATCCTTCAGTTAGGGATGCCAGCCTCCAGGTGGGACCTGGAGAGCCCCCAGAAATACAGCTCATGTCCAGACTACAAGTGTCAGTTCCCCTGGAGAAAATGGATGCATTTGAGGGTGGACTCTCTCTGTGGCACTGTAGTCCACTGAGGTCTCTGCCCTCCCCAGGCTCCATCCCCAAATCAATTGTTGGAATTAATAAGGATTTGGTATACATTTGTAATAATACTTTGAGTTTCTTTTCCCCTCTCCCCCCCCCTCTATTTTTATAATTTCAGGATACAACATCTGGTCTTTATATAAGTGTACTAAAGATCTTGTATACATATGTTTGAATGTGTGTCTATACTATGTTGTATTGTGACCACTGAGGAAGGCCCTTTGAGGCCATAAAGCGTTTGGTCTTCAGTTGGAAAGTGTTGACCCATCATGTGTATTAATATTTGATATGCTTTTATTAGTCTAATACTTGAAAAAAATTTAACCCGAATATATTTTAATATGTGTACACCCTAATAAATTTTGTACTTTTATAATATATATGGCAGCTTAACCCTTCTGGTTCGTAGTGTTATCTTGGGTTGAGTTTTTCCCTCAACCCCTTTTTTTCCAGTTTCCATCCCCAAATCACCAGGAGTTTCCCAGCATGCATATGGCAACCCTACACTCCCCATCCCTCTCCAGTGGCCAGGGGAAACCTGGCAAGCCTATGAATGGACTATGTGTGCGCGAGAGAGTGTTACATGCTGTTTTCCGACTGATGGCAGCCCTATGAATGTGCATACTCCAAAGCATCCTATCCTTAACAGCCTCAGGTTTTGCAAACTGACGGTCATGGTTTCCTTTCTAGAATTAATACATTATTGCCTTTTCCAGTGATTCTTAATGTGACCAAAGTACAATTGCCTCAGTATAGTCATTTTAGCTTCTAGAGAGAGTTCAGGCTTGATTTGATCTCCGCTTATTTCTCCAGTGGATCAGCAGGGCGTAACTGTGTCTAGTCACGTCACAGGAAGACATAACTGTGTCTGGTCACATCACAGGAAGACAAGACTCACTGGAGACGGCAATAGTACTAGGAAATACTAGGAAAAGTTGAAGGCAGCAGGGAAAGGGGATGACTCAACAGGAGATGGATGGACTCAGTTCAGCTGCTTAGAATGGGATGTTTTGGAGGGCACAGGGCTGCCATAAATCAGAAGTGGCTTGAAGGCACATACTGTAACTCAGCAGAACCCTGGCTACATGAGTGACGTGTCCTAAATTACCTCTCCTGGGCCCCGGTCACATGGGCCGGATATTGCGGGGGGGAGGTGTGGCTAATTGCCCCGGCACAGTTTGATGCATGATTACACGATCAGACGCGCCGGCAGCACACCCAGGGTCCTTCCCTTGGCGCCG